CTCCCCACTTGGGATCTCATCCCGAAATTCCCGCCGGAATCGTGGAATTCCCTGGAAAATTTCCCAATTTTGGGGAATTCCCTGGAAAATTTCCCAATTTTTGGGGATTCAAACGAAGATTTTTGAGATTCCACCAAGGATTTCCCATTTTTGGGGGATTCCTGGAAGGATTTGGGGGATTCCACGGAGGATTCCCCGTTTTTTTGGGATTCAACCGAAGATTTTTGGGATTCAACCGAAGATTTCCCAATTTTTTGGGATTCAACCGAAGATTTTTGGGGTTCCCCGGAAGATCTCCCACTTTTTTGGGATCCAACGATTGACTTCCCAATTTTTTGGGATTCAACCAAAGATTCCCCATTTTTTGGGGCCTCATCCGAAGATTTCCCATTTTTTTGGGATTCAACCAAAGATTTCCCAATTTTTTGGGATTCAACCGAGGATTTCCCATTTTTTTGGGATCCAACGGTTGACTTCCCAATTTTTTGGGAATCAACCGAAGATTCCCCATTTTTTGGGGACTCGACCAAAGATTTTTGGGATTCAACCGAAGATTTCCCATTTTTTGGTGCCTCATCCGAAGATTTCCCATTTTTTTGGGATTCCATGGAGGATTTCCCATTTTTGGGGGAATCAACCGAAGATTTCCCATTTTTTTGGGATCCAACGATTGACTTCCCAATTTTTTGGGATTCAACCGAAGATTCCCCATTTTTTGACAACTCAACCAAAGATTTTTGGGATTCAACCGAAGATCTCCCATTTTTTTGGGTCTCAACCGAGGATTTCCCATTTTTTTGGGATCCAACGATTGACTTCCCAATTGTTTGGGATTCAACCGAAAATTCCCCATTTTTTGACGACTCAACCAAAGATTTTTGGGACTCAACCGAAGATTTTTGGGCCTCAACCCCGGACTTCCCATTTCTTTGGGATTCCACCGAAGACCTCCCGTTTTTTCGGCACCCAACCATTGACTTCCCAACTTTTTGGCCCTCGACCGAAGACCTCCCGTTTTTTCGGCACCCGACCGCCGATTTCCTTTTTTCTTCCGAATCCTCCCTTCTCCTCTTCGGTGCCGGTGCCGGTGCCGGATCCTTCGGATCTCCCCCTCCCTCTCCCCTCCTTCCCCTTCCCCCGGCGTCTCCGTGCGCCCGTTGGTGTTTCTGGAAGTGCAGCGTGGAGTTGAAGCTTTTCCCGCACTCGCCGCACACGTGGGGCCGGCCGCCGGCGTGCGTCCTCTGGTGCCGGTACAGGTGCGACGTCCTGCCGAAACTTTTGCCGCACTCGCCGCACTCGTAGGGCTTCTCGCCCGTGTGAATCCTCTGGTGCCTCTCCCAATGGGAACTCCATGAAAAACTCTTCCCGCAGTCTCCGCACCGGTACGGCTTCTCGGCGCCCGAGCTTTGCCGGCGCCCCTCGGCCAGGTGGAGCCGTTGGTGCTTCACCAAGGCCGGCGCGTCGCCGAAGCTTTTTCGGCACAGCGAGCACTTGTAAGGCCTCAGGCCCGTGTGGGTGCCTTGGTGGCGCTGGAAATGGAGGATGCTGCCGAAACTGCGGCCGCAGTAGGTGCAGATGTACGAGCGCTCGCCGGCGTGGCCGCGTTGGTGCCGGTAGAGGTGGGAACTCCTGGAGAAGCTCTTGCCGCACTCGCCGCACTCGTACGGCTTCTCGCCGGTGTGAACGCGCCGGTGCCTCAACCAATGGGAGCTCCACCAAAAACCTTTGCCGCAGTCGCCGCAGCGGAACGGCAAATCGCCGGCGCTCGCCCCGCCGCCGCCGCCGCCGCCGCGCCGCGACGCCGGCCCCGAACCGAAATCCGGCGACGACGACGGCGACGACTCCCAACCGAAATCCGGCAACGACGACGGCGACGGCGACGACTCCTCGGCGTCGCCGTGGCCGCGTTGGTGCCGGTAAAGGTTGGAGGAGACGTTGAAGGTTTTGCCGCAGCGGAGGCAGCGGAACGGTTTCTCGCCGGTGTGGGTGCGCCGGTGTTTGGCGAAATGAGATCGGCAAGCGAAGGTTTTGCCGCACTCGGGGCATCGGTGGCCGGGTCGGTGAAGGGAGAGGCTCTTGAGGTTGGAGAATTTAGGGGCAATCGGGAGATTTTGGGGTTTTTTCCGGGTTTTTCCGGAAGGTTCCGGCGGGACCAGAG